ATGGGGTCGTGACTTTGGGCGGGACCGGGACTTTGGACGGACCGTGACTTTGGACTGCACTGGGGGTTTTGGCCGAGGATGGGATTTTTGGGTCAGACCAGGGCTTGCGAACCGGGCAGGAGCATTTGAGACCAGGCTGGGACTAGGGTAAGACAGGCCGAGACCTGAACCCGCGCGGGCTTCAACGAGAGGGGGAAATTTGTCCGAGGTACGGACCGGGTGACTCAGTCGGCTGGGAGTTGGACTTGATCGCTGGGTTTTTCTCCTTCTGAGGGGAACAGGCGACAAGGTCGACTCATGGTGAAACTAGACCAAGAACAGTCGCCACGATGGGCCCTCGATTCTGCCTTCGACACTGAGAGTTCGAGCACTATTCCATGGAATCAGCGAGCCCGTTACCGGCGGCATCCCATCGGGTGGAGGATTCGTCCTAGAGTGTTAGTGAGGTCAATCGAAACTCAGACTGATTTTCCCGACTTGGACTCAGGACCTATCTCTGGGGTCGGGAGTAGCGTACGATGGACTGTGAGAGGCTCGTGGTCGTGTCTATAGTCGTTTCCAATCTTCATTTATGTGGATGTGGACTAACAGTTTTCTTGCAGGTTACAGGAGCCCCGACCGACCCTCCCGTGGGTGATAGACACGGCGTGAGGCACAGGGTCCGATCGGCGTGCTGACAAACTTCTTATTCCGGTTGATACCGGGGCATTCGTGAGGCTGAATGGGATTACGACCCACTCAAAGTGCCTGTATCACGTTTTGAATGCGGTCTTGTACCGATCCCGTGGATGGATCTCAAATTGGTGGTAAGCCGACTTGAGGTCCAACTTGGAGAAGTACTTGGCGCCACCCAGACGTTCGAGAAGATTGTCGATTCGTGGGAGCGGACCAGCATTCTTAACGGTTTGCACGTTAAGTTTGCGATAGTCAATGCATAGCCGGAGTTCCTCGTTCTTCTTCCCGACGAAGAGAACGGGAGCACCGTAGGGCGAGAAGCTAGGGTGTATTAAGCCCATGGCAATGAGGTCGTCGAGTTGCGCTCGAAGCACTTCAAGTTCCTCTTCGCTCATGCGGTAAATACATCTGCGCGGAGGTACGGCTCCGTCTTCGAGGATGATCTCGTGACGAATTGGCGGATCCTATACGATTGCGGCGGGAGCTTCGAAGACATCGCTGAAGGAGTCAAGAAGCTCTACAATGCGTGGATCCGGTGGCACTTCCGTCGCTGGCTCGTCGGGAGGAGGGAGGGCATGCAAGAAGCAAATGCCCATTTCTTCCACGTGTTGTCGTGCGATGGAGTTGTGTATGCTTGCCACAGAACCGCGTGACAACCAATCGGGTGAGGCGGAGGAACCGTGCATGGGACGAGTATCCCGTTTCGATCACGAACGTGAACAGTGTATCGATAGAAGTTCACCGGGTGGTCCTCGCTTCGCAGCCACGACATGCCCAAGATCATGTCGATCTTTGTGTCAAGAATGTCGAAGGACACAACCTCACTTGCGTGCGAGGCAAAGTGCACGAGCGTTGTGTCAATGCACCGATCAATGGACTTGTGCGTGTGACCGTCGGCCAATGTGACTTGTGTGGGCTGCGACGTCCTTCAAACGCACGGCCCAAGGTCAGCACGCATCATGAAGTCTTGGCTGATGTAGTTGCGAGTAGCGCCACAATCGATCAAGGCGCTGCGGGTCGCCTTTCCGATCTGAATGCGGACGTAAAGTAACAGTGGGTCGATGTCGTCGTACCGTTGCGTGGCGTACTCACGGTCGATCTTCGCAAGATACTTGCGAAGGTCAACAACTGCTACTCCGTCGTCCGTCGACGGAGTTGGTACTGCTGCGTGCAAGTACTTGCGTAGCTCCGCCATCAAGGCGTTGCAATGCGGTTTCAGCAGCGAACCGGATTGGGGAAGAGGCAACCATTGAAAGTCTTCCGTTGTCAATGGGTCAAGGTCCTCAAGTCCTGACCACACCGACGAGTCCCTGGATGATAGTAGTGTCGACGATGGAGTCGGTTCGCTTATCGGCGGTGATGAAACTGCGCATACGTGAGTGTCGTGCACGTGGAGAGGTAGGTCCAACGGAGGGACCAACTGGACAGCATAGTCTTCGAAAGTTTCCCGAAGACTTGCAACATCCGCATGCTCCCCAGACGTGTAGGAGGTTGCTAGCAAGGCAACCGTGCCCGACGGAATGTGAAGTGGAGTCGCCTCACTCCCCGCGGAGCTCAGTTTCCTGAGCTTTGTCGTGGGCGAACGTCGTCTTTGACCTTGTCGGGGCATTGAGTCGGAGTGTGCTTGGTGCTGTTACACCAAAAGCAGCATCCGTACTTCTGGCGGATCTTGTATTGCTCCTCTGTAAGACTGAACTTTGCCCATGCCTGGTTCGGCTGTCCGGCTTCCGACATCGATGCCGGTTTCGCTTTTTCTTTCGTGTGTTGTGTCGTGACGGAAGGGCATTGACTTGGCTTCCTTCACTTGGCCCTGAAGTCGATGTCGGGTCTTCTTCTTGTCCATGTGGGTGGACTGCAGCTACCGGCTGCGTCCGTGGTCTTTAGTCTTTGTCCACAAAGTTCGGCTGTTACGGACTCGGCCAGGGCTCGATCCCTGGTCCGTGGGTTACCACCCACCAGGCTGTTTTTTTTTTTTTTCGAGTTTCTGATCTCCGGTTCCTGACTGTTGGCGCCCTCTGCAGTTGGTGCCCGTTCTCAAATTCCTCCTTTGGCACTTTCGGATTTCGATACTTGGCGCCATCTGGCATTCCGGCGCCCAGACTCAGACCTTCGATTCTCAGTTCAGCCCTGAGGCAAATTGCACTTCTGCCCTTGGGACCGAACTCGAGTCCGGTACTTAAGACCGGACTCAAGCCCAGTACGGGCATTCAGTTTTCGACCTCAATGCTTCTGCTTCAGTGTGACTTGCTGTGACATTGTGTTCGGAATCCAAGATTGTGACTCAACGACTTTGCCACTTTTTGTCTGCGTCCGTCGAGCCGTGTCGAGTCTGCGTCGAGTTGAGTGAGCGTGTGTGTGTGCTCTCACTCTCTGTTACATGCCCAGTTGGGTGATGTACATAATAACCGAGGATCCGCAATGTGATAAAAAGGACTGAATGCACAATGCAGTGCAAGTGAAATCTCAACCAGCATGGTACATTCTGATACATACAAAAATGGTGCTTTATAGCGCAGGGAAGACTTAGATACAAGTCCTGACCTGACCGAGACTGACCTCTATCATAGTGGAAGATAGCGTAGCAGAATGCTAGAATATCAATGACTAGCCCAATCAATGTTGCAATGCAGACTAAACATACATCATTCTCATCACAAGGTGTGAAGAGAACTGGCGCTATACACAGGAAGAAGGTGCCAGGCCTTGATCATGCACAGATGAAGAAGCGGGGGAGAGATGGGAATGTCGTCAACCCCAAGTCTTTGTCACAAGTCCCAAATAATCCCTCGTCAAAATGTCTGAAGCCCAAATGTCGAGTCTGGATCCAAATGTCACCAAGCTCTCTCTTTCTCTCGTCGTCTGCAGTGAAGTCAGGTCGTGAGAGGGTGAGAGGGAGATGGTGGACTGCGAAGAGGAAGAAGAAGAACTCTCTCTCTCTCTCTCTCTCTCTCTCTCTCTCTCTCTCTCTCTCTC